GGTATTTGTTATATATATTAAAAGTTTTGATGAAATCCAAAGAAGAATCTACAATGCTATCGGTCCTGACCTGGCATATTAGCGTTGGTCACATTCCCACCTTGATTTATTATTAACTTATTTTCAAATTTATTGTTTACTTATTTTCAAATTTCATGACAATTTTTTTTCTTAGTTATTCTACAAGTGAGACTTGAAATTACTAAACTAGCTATCTTGTGCTTTTTTTCTACAAATATTTTCATGAGAATTGTTTTGACGAGCTTTTCTCTTTGATATCACTTCATGAATTTATACGCAGTGAAAGATTGAGAACTATCATTTTTATCATTATATTGTTAAAATTGCTATATGTAATCTTTAGTTCTATTCCTATATAGTTTCTTCTCTCGCACTTCTCGAACAATGGATCTCGCTTCCGATTTGGTCTTTTTTTTTTTTCCTGTGGAGTTTACGATCTTCAAAAATATAAATGCGATATCAGTTGTTATCATCTGTCTCCTTGAATACTGTTCTTTTATTGTCATCTCTTCTCACTAATGTTTTTTTTTTCAGTTTCATTCACTTTCAGTAAACTCTTGTGTCTTAGTACCTATCCTTGGATTACCTCCTACAAATTTTAAAAATCCATAGTATGGGAGGAGAATTAGATACAAAGGCATTTTCGTGTAAGTGAACTTGACTGGAATTCGAACTCGGCTCGACGATTTCTCATTCCGAGTTGATATCCATTACGCCACAATGCATATACTTTTTTATTCTATACACTTTTATATAACTTTAGGAAAGTGCATGAATACATATAATACTAACAATAAAAAAAAGACGCTCTAAATTTAAATCCTTTCTTTTCAACCAAACACTGATGGTTCTGATTTAGTAGGGGAAACTCTTAGGCAGGATATTAGTACTAGACTAAAACTGAAACACATCTGTAGACACAACTCAATCTGGCATGATTAATTATGTGGTGTTTATATGTCAGTGCGTTTTTGTTCTAAAAGAATCTTAATTAACCATTAATTAATTCTTGTTTCAGCATTTGGTCAGATGATAAAAAATCCATCTCTCTGCAGCGTTTTGTTTTTTCAAATCAAGTCTTATGTTTGGTTACGCGTCACTGATCAAATTCATTCAATAAATAAGATTCCTTCTGTATGATGCACACTCGTATTTTAAACTTATGAAATATTATGCACAAGGTAATTTTTAAAGCGTATTATTTTTTTTAGTTTGTATTATATGTATTTTTTTTAGTTTGTATTATATGTATTCAGTCACTTACCCAGCGCCGTAAAGTTGTCTGTCTCTGTGCCTTTTCTGTAAATATTTTCATGGCAACAGTTCGGATGAGCTCTTCGCTATGGTACCTAGACTTTATTTTTTTAAACTCACTTTGGACAGGAGTATCATTGTCTCCACTTTTGAAGTTGAGTTCGCTCATAAACCATAAGTCCTTTAACAGTTTTTTTCTCGCACTTTTCGAAGGAACTTTCTTAAAAGTTCATGCTTTCCAGTCAACTTTAATCTTCAAAAATTTAAACGCAATCTATTGTCCTCCTCATTACTCTTCTTTTGTTCTCGCCCCTTAGAAATGTTTCTGTTTTGTAATTCTTCCACACCCAATAACCCTTTTGTTCTAGTGACTTTACTGCCTTGCTTGGAGGGAACTCGATTAAAAACAAAATAAAGAAATACTCTAACTTAAAATAAACTCAGGCTTTGCTTTATTTTTTTCCAATTAGAGAGTTTGTACAATTCAGTTTGCCCGCTTTGATGTTCAGTATTCATGTACTTGCAAAACTTGCAATTAACACAATCAGTCCCATGACAGGTTGCGGTTGTAGGGTCACTGCGCAGCTGAACCATTTTCTCCATATATCTGGGTAGAAAGGCAGACAAGCATTCATTCACGCGTAGACATGGCGGAGACAATCCTCTGTAGGTAGAGCCACAGCCGATATCCCCCAACTTGAAGGTCGCCTTGGTCACGGACACTTGGCTGTCGATTCTATCAAGGAAGATCCTCCGGTCGGCAATGCCGTGTCATCACCGCACTGATTGCAAATATAGCTATGCAGCCCAGTCTGCCTCATTGGTGCTTGATGGCTGTTGACTGAAAAGAGTTAATTCGCCCTTTGATAGGTCTTGTTTTTAATTGTCCCCAGAAAGGCTTAGTAGTGGGACTAGTTTATTTGCTGACGATTCGACCACGTAGCAAGTAGCATTAGGCTACAAACTACCAATATCCTTATTAATCTGCAATCTTTCTTTTTATGTGCTATGTCCTTTCAGGACGTAGGCAATCATGGCTCTCCACCTCCCTCTATCCTTTGCCGCTCTCAACAATTTCCTTCCCTCTGCTTCCTCCCCAGACCACGTTCTGTCATCCACTTGCTTAAGCCCACCAGGTAGGCCACGCCTTGTTTTCTCGTCTGTCTTTCCCTCTATTCGACTTGTATCAGATTCTCTAGGCGCTCCTTCCTCATCATGTCCCAGAAACATCAGTTACTTCTTCCTGATGTTAAGTATAAACCTCCTTCTTGTTTGCATCCTCTCTAAGACCTCATCGTCGCTCACACGATCGGTTCATGATATTATGTAAAATCCACTTCCTTCCCTAACTTCAAAATATATCACAAATTTCTAAAATTTGTAATAACTGGACTAAAAGCAACTCCTCTTGAACAAAGTCAAATAAGGAACATGAAGGGGTCTTATTCCAGTGAGTATTATATGCCATCGATTGGAATTGGAGGCACGGTCCATGATATCCTTAGCCTTGTGAACCGTAACTGCAATACCCATCGTATTTGATGGCATATAATGGATTTTAGTGGATTTTACATACAATCAGATATAGTATATTGTATTAATATCTGATTGAATTTTTGTTAGAACAAAGCGTTAAATAATACGCGAAAAAGCGGAGACATGTTGAAAGTTTGTAGAGAAAAAAAACGAAAAAGTAACACTTTACTTTTCGGCCAACGTTTATCGAAGCGGATTGTTGACAGATCTCGGTATTTACCGCACGCCCACTTGAACGGAATACGACATAAGGTCAAGTTTAAAATGAGTCTACGTACACACTGATTAAGACAAAAATTGCTCACGCTCTCTTGGTACTTCTCCATTTTGGGACAGCATTTAATCAGCATATTTTGCGCCACTGTGGTCGCCACTCCTCTCTATCTCACAATTGTAGTTCATAGCGACAGAATAGTGCAATGGCTTGCCGGCTACTTTTGCACCGGCAATGTTGAGATTACCCCGTCCTTCCTCTCAAAGTTGGATTTGTTTTTGAAGTTAGCACCTAGCCATTGTAGGGTCTACAAGAAAGCAGGTGGTTTGAGTTTTCTTCTATAGTGGTTTCCACCAAAGCTGTAGGACCCAGCCTGTCCTGCTATTTTACATCTAACTGGAGGGGTGGATAGATGGATATATACCTTACCTAAAGGTATTAGCACGTAAGTGAACACGACTGGAATTCGAACCCGTCTCTGATTCCTCGATCCGATCTGCTAACCATTATTCCATTGGGTCATAGGCGCTTGACAATTACCCTAACCCACCACTTCCAAAGGAGAGATATTACCTGATGGAAACAAGCCACTAGTGCTTGAGAACCTTATATTAAATTTTAACTGCTCTGCCCGTTGACAGAGGTAAAGAATATCAAACATTACAGCGCTATTAATGATAAAAACGTTAGACAAACGGTTATAATTTTTTTTTTCTCCAAACATTTTTTCAAAATTTTGTAACGAAAGGAAAAAGAAAAATCCTTGATAGACGAGGTAGTCAAGTCATTCTACAAGTTATGTAATAACGAAGTTTTCCCAATATCCTCAAATCAAATGGGCGATACTTAGGATTTTAAAACAATCATTTGAAAGCTTATTAGCAAAAATGGGATTATCAAATATCTGAAAATTAGTAACGCAACCGACCTGAATACTCAATTAAGAGTTTTACATATGAATATACAGAGTGTGACAAAAATACCTCCCACATAATGGTAAGACATTAGCTCGATGAAGATACCATTGCCACAAATGTCCTACCATTATGTAGCTATTTCTCAGCGGTATATGTGGGAGATATTTCTGTCGTGTCCTGTACTTCTACCAACTGAACCAGCTTCAATGATGACAGTGAGGTATGCTGCTCATCTCAAAAGTACAGAGTACAACAGAAATATCTCACATGATAGTAAGACATTATCTAGATGAAGACACCATTGCCACTAATGTCTTACCATAATGTGGGAGGTATTTCTGCTGTACCCTGTATAATTGATAGCTGCTTGTATGTAAAAGTTCAATTACGATCTTTTATAGCAATTTATATTCAAACAATTGTTAATTGAGTTATTTCCTCACTGGGTGCAACAAACCCGTAACCTAGACCAGCGTTTCTCTCTAATGAGCCCTGAGGAGAAGCCAGGTACGCCCCAAGTTAACAAAAGCGTAGTTTATGAATTATTTTTATATCTAAAAAAAAATCTTTATTTTTGAAAAACTAGAGACACCAAGCACATTGCTTCCATATCTTAATAACGTCTTTATCATTTGGTATTTTAAGCTGGATGCTAAATTCCTTAATCTTCAAGAAGGAGTGGATAATCCTTTCCGTTTTGCCTTCCTTCCTTCAAAAAAAAAAAAAATCTTCATAAATCACTTAACATGAAAATTGTACCGCTAATCTCCTTTGGGAATGCTAATGAGACTATGTTTATCGCATATAAGGCCTAATATTCGAAAATTACCAAAGCACATCGAGCATAGGTTCCACTCATGAATACTTAAATATACAATGTAATGTTTTAAAAATAAATGCTTATTTCAGGAGACTTATTTATTGTTTACCTATTTTCAAATTTCATGAGAATTTTTTTTCTTATTAAAATTTAAAGTGCGCTGTCAGAGCTTTAGTTATTCTACAAGTGCACCCTGAAATTAAAAAAAAAATGGTTGAGAAACTCTTCTAGACTAAATTCAGATTCTACCTTCAGGAGTCCATGGAATTTCATAGGATAAAATATTGTCTGTCGGAATTTTCCGATACATTTTCTCTTCTTTCAAATTCTCCAACAGTTCTTGGGATTCTCGAAAGTCTTCGCTAATATTCGGGCATTCTGTAAAAGAAAACATACTCGTGCAGCCAAACCTGGATTCATGTCTAAAGCGTAACGGTCGTAACGAAGGTAACTTTTTCTGTTGATGCATTGTAGTACACACATGCAAAGAAAAAAGAAAAGAAAACGATTAAAATAAATTCAAACCAAATAGTGTATTAGTTTACTTGTGCAGTAAAATAGAAATAACGGATAGTTTTCCACAGACTGACCAATAATTACCCCCTACATTACATTCCGATTCTTGATCTCGTCGGTGTCCACCGAAAGCTGGGAAAGGGCGCGCTGCATGTTCACATGGTAACATGACGAAAGACAAACGCCACATCGAGAAATAAGAACGTGAACACTGCTAGTCCGGTTGGATAGGTAGGTGATACTTGGGACAACTTTTATGTCAGCTCTGTCCCCTATCAACTCATCTGCCCATCTACACATCCCGACGTGGTGGCTGGCAATACGAAATGGAGCCCCCCGAACAGCTCGATGGACACGTCAGTCTTCCGTCAAAAACTCTCCCCGATCCTAAACATGAATGAATATAGACCAGCGCCCGGATCTACAAAAAAACCTATTACTTCACCCCCTGCACCTTCGGTTAAAATGGATAACGCTTAGAAGATCGAACTTAAAAGGAAGCATCCGCTGGTCTGTCAAACAGAAACACTTGAGATCTAGATAAAACTACCTGTTCCCTTTTTACGTCTTCCCTTATTTTATTTATCGATATTTTTAGAGTGCGAGGTAATTTTTTTTTTTTTTAAAAGAAAAAAAAAAAACAGTTCTCGAAAAATAAAAAAATAATTTAAAAACAGAAATAAATTACGGTATTTCCTTTGTTTAAATGTTTAAAATAACAAACATTTCTATTTCTCCGAGGTCATCAGCAGTATCAAATGCATAGAAAGGGCAACATTTCTGATGAAGTATAAATTTGTTAAAATTTGCTATATTTAAAAAAAAAAAAAAACAAAAAAAAAAAAAAAAACGACGAGCGCTCAATATCGGAGATTAAGCGTTTACAGATATAAATAGTATGGGCATAGGAATCAACACTGCATGGTGATTCAATTTCACACCTCAATGCAATCTTCAGACCAACCTTAAGAGCATATTCTGATCTTTAGTGAATATCTATGCAGATGATACAATGGTATATGGGCGCACCTCCAAAAATCTAGATGACCAGAGCTTGGAAGACGATGTCTCCTCTGACAGTCCTTACATGCCAATGGGAAAAAAACTGGCATGTCCTATTCAATACTCCAAAAACCAAACAACGTTCCATCATCAGCGAACAGACCCTGAATTTTCGTCTATCGCAATGAACGGGTGTTTTCTCAAGGGGACCTTTGCCTTGAACAAATTTTGTTCATCTCAGACCTCAAGCGGAACATGCATGATTCATCGCTAAAGATGCTGAGAAAAAGAACATTTCATTGTACCGCTCTAGAAAGTACCCGACACATCCTGCTATGTTCTACCTTATCAAGATCAAAAACCAGATCAGTCCGAAAATGAAGCACTGTTTCCATATCCGAGCATGGAGATGCCCAGTCTTCACTTTCCTGTTCAAAAGCGTCTACGCGGGCTTGTGGGTGATTTATCTTCAACCCTAAAACCACTTAACAGATAAAACATCGCAAGTCTCAATGCTTTATCGCCATTTCCATGGGAAATGTTCTGTCGAGCTACATTCCTTACTCCAACCAATCACAACTTTCACAGATAAGACCCGCCATGCCACGTACGCTGGTAACAGACTTCTGAGAGTATGCTTTCCTAATTATTACACTCTTGAAGTATAGGGTGAGCAATATAAGCAGATTATTACTACTTTATTGTTGGTTCCACACTCAGAGGTTTCGTACGCTTGTGCCAGACTAATTTAAGTTTAATAACGCTTGGTTAGTCATTTTGCATCGCAGATCATTACTACTGAGCACCCCAAGTGACCCATACTTGTGGGGTGGGGGGTACCTCTTCGCGAAATAATTTACTAGCAAACAGCCGCCGGGGAGACAAAAATTAGTGTGACGTATATTCGCTCATCAACGAGTATCCCTATCTTTGAGACATTCTGACCAATCTTAATAAGTAATCCTAAGGTTCATTTCACCATTACCGTCTCTCAGTATATATCTGACGCACATATACAAAATACGCAACTGCCTCAGCCATTAAACAAACCCAAGAAGCAGTAGCAGCTTCTCTAGCTACATATTTTGAAAAAAAAAAGTTTCCAACTTTCTCTTCTGAACAGCAACTCACCACGATATTTTTTCACGTGGTCGTCATAATTTTGGTGCTCGATATTTTTAATATTCCTCTTAAACCATAGACAGTGGTCCTCCACAGCGTCGATGTTCAAAACACCTTTTGTTATTTCAATTTCAGTTACTGAAATTAAAAATGAAAATTTTAATTAGTTAAATTGTTTTTAAAAACACTAATGTATCACTGTATAAAAAAAAACACTAATGTATCACTGTATAATAATATGCTAACATGTTTAGTAGAGAATCATATCTGGCAAGTAGTTCGTAGAACTGCCATCATAAAAACGTTAAACACAAATACAGCTCTTATAAAAGTTTTCCTTGGAGTCTGACTTTTTTAATCTTCCCAAATTTTGATTAGAATCTTTTGACATTTATTATTTCTGTCTATTTCTATCAGACAGAGATAAGCACGTTTGAATACACTTTTATTAAAAAAAAAAAAAAAAAAACTTTGCCGAAATCGCTTTCGTCTAAAATTGCTTGTTCTCATATCACGTTCATCCAACCAAATATGAGCTCTGAGTTTTTCTTCTGTCGTGGAATAGTATTAGATAAATTATTAAATAAATCTGAAAAAAAAAAAAAAAAAAAAAAATACAGACATTTTCAAAGTTCATTTTGACATAAGGACAGATAGGAATAAGATTTTCCCATCGATTCGCTACACCACACCCACCAAGTGTTGCATACAGAGCCTTGCCTGGAGTGTTACGTTTTCAAGGTCGTTAAGTGTGTATGAATCTTTAAGATTGGGGAAAACTAGAAGATGTCCTATAGTTTGTAACTGCCCGCATTGGCAGTTAGGATCAACACGGGTGGCATATCCCCATTTAAGAAGTTTGGCTCTATAGTGACCAACAGCTGTTCTTATGTAATTGGGAACAATGCCACTAAGCAAGTAGAGGTCATCTATTTTGGTTGGCAATGATCGATCTGCAAGAGGCGTTTAAGGCAGGGTCGATTTTCTTTGCGTGTGATGATTTACTACTCCACACTGGTGAGGCATATTCTGCTGTGAAGTAGCTGTTGTGCGGATTGTACCGGCATAGGTACCACATTTGGTGTTAGCCCAAGGTAGATAGGCTTGGGAGTGTACTCTAACCATTTTCCATACCACTTTCGGAAGTGAGATGTAGGAAAATGATTTCTTCTGTTATAGATTTTGTGAATATTGAATTTTTTTTTATATCAAATTTAGTTTTAATCTCGACATCTGTGAAAATATTTAACAAACATTTATACTCCCAATCGCTTAACCTTTAAAAATGAGTTGAATAAAACGCTGAAACTTTGCCAAATGTTTTAAATTTTTATAAAAGCTACTTTCCTCATAACTTATCACAGGCGAAAAGTTTTAGTGACGATTGCATTTAATCTTATATCAAAACCATTGCAACTTACATACCTGACATCAGAAAAAGACGAGCTTCCTCTTCGGACAGTAGACGTTTGGCGAGAGAACTGATAATATTTCGTAACCTTTCGCTTTCTTTCCACCACTGGTCTTTGGCTTTCTGTTTTTTCTCGAGATCTGAGCTGTAGAAGTCTGTGAGAACATCTCCTACTGGCTGGAGGACGTACAAAGACTTCAGCGTGTTCTTATCTTCAAAGTACCACCTACAAAGACAAATTTATATCAGATTTTAATTTTTCATCAGGGTTGCTAATTATCGCATTGGAGAAGAACTTTAATGCCAATGAGAATAGATTACATGGTTTCGAATCCTATCAGAGGATCTATTTACTTTTGATTTTCTCGGCAAAACGAAAAATAAATAGATAGATAATTACCTTAACATCAAACTACTGTCATCTGGATTCTCTGTAGCGTGGAGAAATTTTTCAAATTGTTCCTTACTAATAGTTCTTGGACACGGTCTGTAACCATATTTGTGCGATAAGAAAGACTGTAAAAGAAGGAAACATATTTTGACCATTTTATGAAATTTGCAAAACTCACTGCATCGATTCTAAAAAAATAACGATCTTTTAAGTTAATCATAAATTTATAGAGTTTGCTGTTGATAATGTTGTAAATCCATATATTTCAGATTACTTTTTTCTTTTTATATTTGCTGAAAATTTCTCGGCCAGATATAATTATAATCAACCAGCTAAGTGCCGTATGTGATATACCCTTGGGCGATCATGTCTCTTTCGATCCATAACTGACTAGGCAGAAGATTTTCCCGTAGTAGGCTGCCATTTCTTTTTGTGGTAGACCGGTTGCCAATCAAGGCTATAGAACCCAGTCTGTCCTGCCATTCAACCCATAGCTGGAAGAAAAAACTTCCATACCTTTCCCAAGGTTATTTGCGCGTAAGTGAATGTAACGAACTCGACTAGAATTTGAACTCGGCTCGCCGATTTCTCATTCGGAGCCGATATCTATTACACCACAATATCCCTTCTTGTTTGGAGTAAGAACTTTCCAACATCCCTTGTAAAATCCTAATCTCGAAAAAATTATTATACAATGATTCTTCCGTACTATTCCGCACGACGTTTCATTCTTGGATACTCCTCAGGTGTCTTATGAATTCAGTCGCCTTAAAGGAAGCGTGAGTTGTGTAACAGCTATTAGCATGGAAAATGGAATCTGCGATTCGAGATCAAATTCCGACCTAGTCTGTTAGAATCACTTTCGCACAAATGTCATAGGAAAAGAAATGAATCCACAATTTCTTTCTGCAGCCAGGTGTTACATAGGGTACACTAGGCACTTTAGTCGGGGGTGGTAACCAGTCTAAGAGAAAGGCTAATCTAAATTCCAAACTCTTGAGAGGTTTTTAGTTTGGTTTGTTTAACGGTATATCAACTTCTTATGGGTCATTTAATGCAGAAATTTAATTCTGTGAGCTTTGTTCCCGGGAAATATGGAAGAAAAACATGACATGAAACAAAATAAATATCAAAATAGCATTTTATTTTATTATTAGAAATAAAGTACACATACGTGTCTATGTATTCAAATGTTATTTTTAATGAATACCCGTCTGTGAGTAGACGTTCCGTTTATCGGCCTGCGCATCCGAGAAAACTTTTGTTGAAGTGTTTACTATATGTCTCCAGGTAACGAATAGAGTACAATTCTAACGTTCGTAACATTTAATTTAAAAGAGGTCTCAATAGAGAATAGAGCCATTTATTTTTATTTTTCGATTAGTTAGAATTTAACGTAGGTCATTTCCGATTAGTTGATCAAGGTAATCCCTTCAGCCGTATTTTTTCTCTCGAAAAAAGTGATTTTGCTTTTGAAATTGATCGTTCACTCGACAGTAATTTACAGTCACCTGAGGAGACTCACTGACATGTGTCGAAACATGATCGCAATCATGTAGCGATTTTTAATGTTTTTGATTTAATATCCTAAAATATATAACAAAAGAGAGTGATTGACATATATAATACTTACCACAAAATTTGGACCTGTAGAAAGCTTCTGACAAAGCTCTAACTCTTTGAGGCACATGTCTGTGGTCATGTGATCATTTGTAGCTTCGTCTCGTATGCCCCATCGCATGTCTACGATCTGAAACTGGTAGCCTATTTGCTGACAAAACACTTTCAACTTAGAGTACACGTTTTCCATCAAGTAATTTCGTTCATGTTCCGTATCTTGAAGGAAAAGAAAGAAGTGTTATTTATTCACATGTGACTAAACTGGGAACCTTCACTTTGTCAGCATAAATTTCCGATACATAAAGGTTTAAATTGAAAAGGCATTCTTGAAGGTTTCATTTTAGCTTTAATTAAAAGCTAAAGGATTAAATTTATTATTTCCAGTAAGTAAAATATTCTGGTGTCTTTCAAATACAAATTATATAGATTGCAATGTAAAATTTAATTTCGGTTTCCTAAAATTTTATTAATGAAATTTGTAAACAAAGCAAATTTATCGATTTTAAAACTCTTCCTATATATATATATATATATATATCTGACACGTTGAGTAAAATTAAAAAATTTAAAGTTAAATTGATCAGATTTGAAATAAATATTACTTATAGCATAAAAAGTAATATACAACTATTTGTTAATGATTGGTCCTGTTTATCTGAGGCGATGATTGATGGATGATTGAGTGGCGAAGCGATGACATCTATCATGGCTGACTAGAATTGACATAAATTTACGAAATCTAAGTGAACGCATTTTTTTGTTTTTTTAACTACCTAGTAATTTTTACAAATGAACATATTTTCCGCAATTATCTAATAATTTATTGACTTACCTTTCGAAGATGCTTTATGCAAAAATAAAAAATAAAATACTATAAAATTTTCTTAAATTAATTTCTGTAAAGAGACAAAAAAAACTTAGATCACGTGACCTTTTCATAATAATGTCACGTTTAAAAAAAATTCATAGATGAAAAAAGGGAACAAATTAAGTAAAATAAATAAAAAATTATATTAAAAATAGAATAGTGTAACTATGTTTATTAATCTTTTCAATTTTGGATCCATAAATCTACCGAATGCAGTTATCATATCCAGGATGTGATCACGCTTAATGCTGAAGTCTGTTCGAATTTTAACCGTTGTTTTGTAGTTTCTAAATTTGATAAACGTTAATAGGATTAACGGCGAAACCCTTCTACTCGATTTTTTTGTTGAATTGTTCAGAATGCTTCTCGTTAACTATTTATGTAAATTGCTCATTCTTTGTCTGAATTTGTTCCTATGTAAAAACAAAAAGTCAATAAATAACTGAAAAAAACTTCAGCTATTTCGCATATAATTTACATATTTTGATTCAATTTCTTGAATCAAGCGCTTCAAAAAGACGACGTATACTTTACATATTTAGTAAACTTAGTTTGGCCCGCAAGGTGGACAAAAATGAAAAAAATGCAATCTCGTACAAATATTCAAAGGAAAAGACAGGATACATTTTTTTTTAAAGTTGAGGTGGAGGATGAAAAAATAATTAGATGATTTCTATATATTTCTATAAAGATTTTATCTGAATAGGAACAACTGTCAAATTGCAAAGTTATTCAAACTATCCTCACTTTCATTGTCGTCTTCGTTTTTCTCTACGATTTGGTTGCACATCTTTGAGTAGAATTTTGTTCAGCCTGTTTTTTGGGCCGTTGGTAGACGTGTTATATAGTGGAATTGGTGCCATTTCAGCGTGTGATCTACATCCTGAATATGATCTGAGAATGTGCACTATATTAATATTTATAAGAAGACAACAATAAGAATATATATATAATATATATACTATTCTATATATATATATATATATATATATATATATATAAAAATAGGAACTGTACATAATCTGGACATCATTAAGAAATGTAACTAATAAATTTTAGGCATACTATTCCTGTCTGTTACTAAATCCAGCGGCAGTCTTATTTCAATGTAAATGTTCTAATTCCACCGGATTAACATTTTTACCTTAATCTCACCACGTGTCGTAATTTAGGTCAGGTCATATTTATCGCAAATCCATCATAATTGTTTATACCAACATTATTTCCTGACTGCTTCCTTTTGCTTTGGTTTGTTGGATTTTAGGGGTGGGGGTGAGAGGACAAATTTTATCAGCTTCTGTCTTCAAAGAATGGGGGGAAAATTATAACTGTCCCCTCTGTACTCCAATTGGAAGAGAATTTTTACTGAAGAAATCAGCATATATGATATAAAAATGTTCAACGTGGGTATTTTTACCATATGCTCCCTGTAAAATATTGCTTTAAAAAGACTTAGAATGCATGTGACCACACAAAGTTCAAAGGAATTAATACACAGATCACCTACACGTATCCCTCAATGTACAAAATGTCATCTTGAAAAGAAATGAGGGCTAAAAACGATCTGTCTTAAATATAAGAAAAATAAATGTTACGCGATATCCCTAGACATGGACAGCAGAACAAGAAAAATTTAACCCCATAGATTAGATAAAGGGTTCAGTCACTGAAGGTTACCCGGATCGATAGACACCCGAGGCCGGAGAGCATAACGGTCGAAACATTGTGATAACGACAACAAAATGAAGACATTAGTTCGTATGTAAATGAATATTAGACAGTTCAGACAATTTACCGCATAAATTAATATCAGTGAGTTTACAAGCGTAAAATGCATCAGAATTTTCTAAATTTTTTATGAATTCAAAACTTAATAGATAAATCTCAGTTTCTCGTCAGATACGACTTTGAAGGAGAGCATTAAATTTTTCGATATACCGTATATGCTGATGTATATACGATATACTGCACTTCGTATAGCACACAAGGCCAAACAAGTTAAATGCTGACAGGGCGCTGTTTTGTGCCTATCACCAAAATGGGGAGGGAACATGCCTTCTTAAGAAGTCAGCGTTCATAATCCTGCTTTTTATCTGGGCTCAGACACTGATTACTAACACCAGTAGAAATAGGCAGCTACATAAGCCACCAAGCTGACCATGAATAAACTATTTACTAAACTTCGCATATTACTACTACCCACAAGGCCACATTAGTGGCAGTAACTCAGCGAGTATTGCCATCACTATAGTAAGTCGAATATATGAAATATATATCGAAATATGGCGAGCCGAATCTGTTAATTTCAAGTATTTTTTCAATAAAAAAATCAGTTAACTTTACTATTATAAATTTGTAAAAAATAACTTCTATTCTAACGAGAATATAAAATGCTGTGCACTTGAGCTTTAATTAATTAAATAAATGGCGTTTTTAGAATAAAAATGGTGACTAGAATTTTTAAAATAACTTTTCAGTCATGAAAGGCTTTCTCCGAGAAAGATTTAAGGATGGGGGATAAATTCATGAATATTAAAGAAAAGGTGTTTGGAATAAAGATGTCCCGAGTGGGTTTTTCTCAAAAGCGAAATACAAAACAGAAAACAAATGACCAAAAAAAAGAAAAGAAAAAAATGAATATCACACTGTGTCGTCTATTTGCAATTCATCAGTTTAACGCGTTTAAAAACAAGTCTACACAATACGTCAACATCATTTAAAGACATTACAATCCATCATGAAACTGCGTCCTTACAGTATAATGACGTATTTTAGCACCTCCTTTTTATAAAATTACGTTATTAAATTCTATGTAGTCATATTATAGAAGTTTTATTCTTGTATACAAATTTCATATTCATGTGTTTTCTTTTAAAAAAATATTGTGTCTGAACACATTTTTATTAAGCATGTTTGAGTTTAATATACAAGAAATACATTTCTATGTAACTAATCTAGTAGAATTGATAATATTCTCGAATAGAATATAAATATAGTAACCGTTTAATTTTACTTTTTGTTGATGGTGTTTACGCCACACTAACATGTCAGTAGTGGAGTTGCTTGCAAACAAATTGCTTAGTAAAAAAAAAAATCGTTTTGCTTGGTTTCATTTGAAGGTATTCTAATAAGAAGCTCAAAAGTAAATTTATTCGAAAACGTTACGAAAAAGAACATTGAAAAGAGGTAAGCATCAACATCATAGTACCTTTCGTTTATATATATGTTCACATTCTTTTCTTATTTAACTTTATTAAGACTTATTGAGGCGATATTTGTGCTTCGGATAGTATAGTAGATTCATTGTAGTATTCTCAAGCAAGATAATAAGAATTACGATACAAACAATTATGTACAACAAAGCAAAGTAAATTGGAATACAAAAGGGTTGTCGGAGTTAACTCCTCCTTTAGTTCGTTAACCCTTTCACCAGGGGTCTCTCTTCCCTGGCTATAAATAGTCGCTGACCCTTCGCCTCTTTCTTTTTCCCCTCAGGCCTTTGCGCCGACACCTAGAGGTAAATCTCTTTTTTTCCTCAGGCTTTCAGCCTTATTACCTCTAAGATGTGAACGCTCACAGAGAGATAGCGTTTCCCAAATGCTGGGAACACGCTAAGCACAATACACAAACACACACACGCACATATATAATATTCACACACACACTTTGTCCCTTGTAACTGTTTCCATGTAACTTGTTATTAATATATATATTTGTATACATATATTATCGGTCTTGTTTTTTGTTTGTTTTCTTTGCATTCTTTGGACTTAATTAAAAGTCCAACTTTCTCGTGTAGTTGGACCAGCTAGCAGGAAAATCTGAACCCACATGTGTTTTTCTACTTCTACTCAACAACATCACAGCCACGGTCCACTACAGGGTGAATGAGAGTGTGTACACCGAGACGTCCATTTTGTATCTGGAGTGTTGATAAAAAAATTACAACATACTTAACATTTGAGAAAAGTTCTTTGTTTGGTATAATTATTAAATAATGTGTGTGTAATAAAGCAAGTTCAGGGGATTTTACACTGTACTATTCTATAGTGTGCACAGTGTCAAAGGAAACTGAAAGGTATACAGTGTGTAACGAAACAAGTTTTGTCTCTAATCCGGTATTTACCACGAGGCAGGATGTGGTGCAAGGCTGGTTTTTATGTGGGGGCAGTCTGAGCCCATAGGCTCAGGCAAAACTTTCCTGTAGACCCCCCACATACACGAGGTCGGGTTTGGAAACCTCCCCAGACGAAACTCTGCCCGTAGGCAGAGCCCCGTCTGGGTTGCTCACTGCCCGAAGGCAGAGAGTCCGACAATTAAACCTTGATACTTAATCAATCCGAAGTCGTCTCTCTCTAAGCCATCGATATTTATTATGTAAAAATACATAATTATGGCACAAGGCCGAAATGGGGAAGGGTTTGAGGTTGGTCATCACTATCTTATACCTAGCTAATCCAACTCACGACCCATTCACTCATTAAAATTTCCGCATTCACCATAAAAACTCGTCCGTCACCAATCCTCCATATACCACAATACCGCATCCTCTCAAGGGGGACCTGCAAAAACGCGCCCCATGATATTAAAAATTTCATCATAATAAAATGTATATATAAAAATTTATGAGTGATTAAGTATGAGAGGGGAGGGCGATGAACCCAATAACAAACTAAATATCAACACAAAGCAAACTAGGAATAACTGATGTTAGTAGGCCTCGTCCAACCCTCAAAAAAGGAGAGGCCGCTGTATTCTGCCCATTGGACAAACTCAAGAAGCTCTCTCGCCAAGGGAGTGGGAAAGGAGAAAATATATACGGACATGGGAAATATAACAGCTGACCCAGTTGAGATGAAAAAAAGGGGTGCCAAAACAAACTGGGGAGGTTGGGAATCTCAACTTGGATCATAACCAAAGCGTCTCTCTAAGCCATCTTGAGTGAGACATTCGCGCTCTTTTCTTATATACTACTTTGGTAATTATCAGGTTCTTTGGTAAACAAGTGGAGATAATCCCATGGGATTACGTATGAGAAAAACAAAACAAATGAAATTAAAGAAATTAATTGTTCTTACCTGTAAAGGTACTGCTAGTAAATATTCGCACGATCTTGTCGTTACTTGGACAGACCGAGTCCACTTTTCCAGAAAGAACTTCATTGACCATATAATTCAGGTTCAAGCCACTGGAAGTGTCGCCATTAGACAGGGACTTTAGCAAATCTTTCTTGTTGGCACTTTGACTTATGTCATTTGAGTTTCTTCCCGTCGGTTTGTTCACTTGACGCCTATCAATTTTTGACTGCAGCTTTTTCATCTTATTCATATTCCGCGATGCAATCGAACATCTCTGAATTGATTGCATTTCGCTCAATAATTTATTCAAAATTGGATCTTTCGAATAAATCTGTTGATGTCCACCTAAGTGGTTAGTTTTAATATCTGGTGGCGTTGCGTGAGCTTCCTTACACGTGCCTTCGTCTAGATTCACGTTTATTTTTCCTGTCCGGATAACCTCGGAGGCTTCATTGGATCCAACATAATTTACTTGTCCTACAGTTTTTTGGTTAGACGAATTTGGCTTGACAAGTGAAGCATATTGGACTGTCTGTTTTCTGGATAATAAAAATTGACACACGATTGAAAATAGGTTTACAAATTATATTTTGAATTGATGAAATACAGTTTTTAGAGAAAATTTTAATATAATGAAGCGACTAAATTTATCAATTTCTTTCTTTTTTTTTTTTTACCCATTCGTTAATTCTGAGCAGTAATACTCAGAATTATTTGCCACTGGCAACTAAAGAACCTACAAGCCAAATTAATTAGTTATAGTTCGAATAATTGAAATATTTTTTCTTCAAGTTTATCAAGTTAGATATGTATTAATATTACAGCAAGATTGTTTTCCCCAGATTAAAAAAAGTTAGTAGGGAATGTTATGTTACTTCACAAATAAAATAGATCATAAAACAAAAAGAATTAGCATCCACGACGATACACAGTGGTCCTGGTGTTTCGGCCATCCGTACTTTTTTTTTGCTGAAACTGAACACTAAATTTGTTTTCTTGGCCTCAATATTATAACAATGCACTTGAACTGAGCTGTATAATTTGTCTAAAATCATTACAACCATTAATTTTCTAAATAAATCAAGTTTCTCCTCCCACGAAATATTAGTTTCTAAAACTTATATAAATCTTAAATTCCTTAAAATAAATACAAACGAAAAGCAAACAATAAAATTTTGAATTAAAAATCAAAAAATATATACAAATCGATATATAAATTTAACAGATCGCGACATCAATCAGAGAAATGAAATTTAAATTTTTATTATTGCATTATTCCAACATTTTAACACATCAACAGATAGCTATTAATGTCAACAACTGAGCACAAATAGTTATTAATTCAAAAAATAGTAATTAATGTATATTATTATTCATAACTACATGTACAAGAATGTCGTTTTTGATAAAAGTTAAAAAATAACCATAAATATGTAAAAATGCGCATATTGCCGAAAATTCCTTTTTCCACAATATATCTATTTGTTCTATGTTGTAATGCTTATTACCTGAACAATAATAATACTGAATAAAATTTTTTAAACATTAAAGTATATTTAATCACATCTCCCTAATAGCTGTCGCTATCTGAAAAAATGCTCATTTTTTTAAGCGGACCAGATAAAAAGTACAAAATCAGAAACTTTTAAAATTGATTTCGCCTTCTTTGACTTTATTTTGTGACACTATACTTTTTTTTAAATCAATTCACTCCAAGTAAGGCAATAATGCCACTAAGACACAATGTGCTATTAGGAGCGAAAGAGAATGAAAAGACTTTATAAGAAACCGGAAATCTGTTTAAGATTGGGTTTCCAGTTTCTTAAATATATAAACCTATTCAAAAGCCCGGGGAGGTGTATGAACCGGACAATAGGTGAACCTATCTATTCTTATAAATAAAATTGGTATTAAAATACAAAATTCTCGTTCACCCAAACAATTTAAGAATTAATTTTTTTTTCTTTTTTACTTTTCGTTCATCATTTTGTTCATTGGCTAACCGGGGCACCAACGACAATCTTCCACTCAACTTCTTATTAATTCACGAACTCGATGGAAAGATTTTAATAGAAACTTAAAAAATCCCCTTACAAGAAATAAGAAACAAAAACAATACATTTTAAGTTTTTTTTTTTTAAAATCAAGAATCAATGTTTCTAGCTGGAGCGCCTCATTATGGCATAATGTTTAACGAGGTAGTCTAGTTGATCATTAATACTGAGTGTTGAATTCTTTTCTTCCTTCCCAGATACAAGTTCTATTTAACTCATAGGGAGATGGAATCATACCTTTTCCAAAGGTATTTGTGCATAAGTGAATGTAATGAACCCAACTGGAATTCGAAAACTCTCCGATTTCTCATTCCGAACCGCTACGGACATATAGATGTAATATTAAAATTGTTTTTTTTTTTGTTTTTTTTTTTATTATTATTATTCTCTAATATTCTAAGTTTTACGTGACACTGTCCAGAAATGATCCTTAAAATAGACCCACCGTCCCCGTGTTAAAACTACGTTTATAAATAATTTACAGCAGGACTTAAAAAAATAGTTAAAAAAAAAAAAAAAAAAAAAAAAAAAAAAAAATCGTTTACCTGGAAACAAGATTTGAATGGCTCGCTGTGCACCCCATGATATGATATCATTGAAATTTGCAGTCAATATCGATGTTTCTCACTGATAAGCGATTTTGCGGTTTTTAGCGGACAAAAGAACTTTTACGACCTGTAGTCGATTGCACAACATTTAAGTAGTACATCTGAAATATCAATACAAAAAAGAGTTTACTTCAAATTGGTTAAACACAACAATCGCTAACATTCTTCCGTTCCACCAGTTCAGATCTTCATTGCTAGGGCACGCCAAACGACTTTCACGGAATCCAGTTTCATCGATTTCGTCCCTATCCCAAATATGAGAAAGTTCCACCCAGCTTGTTACCAAAATCTTCTACTTTGTGGAACAATCACGCACGTGGCTGCTTTACTGATCACTACAATATTAAACACTTCAAGTCAAAGTTCACTTGTTCTCTATTTACCTTATCCCCATAATCTTCATTTCCTCTCACCACTTGAGGACTACCGACGACAGCAGCACATGTAACTAGAAAAGAAATTAATGACATATGTTTAACATTACACATCGCTTCAAATAAAAGGTTAGCAAGGAAAGACTCTATAAATACCGGAAAAAGTGATAACACCGACTGGACTTTAGAAACCTATTTTCATAAAAAAAATATTTTAAGAGAAATATTTTCTAAATTTCAACCAAAAACAGTAGTGGCTATTCGTTCAACAAATGCCAAGTATTTCCTTGTAGGGAAAAGAATAATATTACCATTACCAACCTCCCACTTCATTCATATCACACACGTCATTCATCATAACAATTTTAACAATAACCCTCCTCTACTGTGAGTGGCTATCGAGCTTTGTACTTGGCGATCATTAATATAAAAACAATTTTCGTTTGCTCTGGAAGTTTGCCTTGTGGGTATTGTCTTTACACGTCAGTGATGATAGTTCGAGACCAGTTAAAAGACAGGATTTGAATATATTTATTTGTAATAAATTACAAAATGTGGCACAAGGTCAAAAAGAGGAAATGGGGAAAAGAGAGGTCTTCTTCTGTCTTAACGTTAAATTTAGCTAGCCACAAACACTAACCCAAACACACAACAATAATCCTAACACCAAAACAACGCATTCTTACTACATCCACCATAATACCTCACTGTCTCCATGAAAGTACTAAAACTAGTCCCCTTATGTACAATTCATTGTCTGTGATGGAAGGGGAATAAAATAACAATTTAAAAATCTAAAACTTCATTGCATATTTACAAAATGTACAAAAACTATTTACAAGAAAGTAAACAAAATAACGTTAGTCATAAAAACCCCTGCATTTGGATTCAAGGACCTGAAGCTTCATTAGTTTCATAGTAGATCAGTCACTGCTTGTACTTATAAAATACTTGTTAGAAATATAAACTAAAAACAAAAACTTACGAGTAGGTTTCTTCGTTGTCATCAGACTTAGCCTTCCAAGTGTAATGAATCGTTTCCCGAGATAAGGACTAATACTAGCATGTAATATATCACTATTCAAGTAACTGAAGCAACATGGTTTATTGATAAGAATTTAAAACTTTAAACGTGTCTTCATTCACCCAATCCCGTTTGTAATAATTTATAAGTTTGGCTCTATTATTCTTGTCCGCAAGACAAGTTCTTACTTGCAGTTGTGTAAACGATTCACAAAGTAAGAGGGAGCATACTTAAGTTTAATGGCTCATGAAGTCTACGTTGTAATTTCTATTTTTACAGATGTACGAATGAAATTACACTAGAACCAAAGCTTCCAAAAGAATCTCCAAAGACTACATACTACCGATAGGTCTAAGAATCCAATTGTGTTCCTGATATCTTCCAAGTCGTTTTTATCTTACCTATTGTATTTACTCCAGCGTTTCTATATGTCTAGACATTTACCAAATTTATTTATGTTTGACATGGTGCCAAATACGGAGTATAAAACAGTGTTGCGCCATGATTTTTAATGACGAGATCTGCTTTTCAACCACCATTTGTTCATCAACAATTTGGGAGGTTATTAATAAGAGTTCGTTTTATTTTATTTATTTTTTTTTTTACTTCACTGTAGAAAATCTGTTTTGTGGATGAATTAATTTTTGCACGGTTTATTAGTTTTTGTTTTTTTATAATTGCTACTTTATAGTAATTTGGGTATTCATTGTTATAGTTAAAGGTTTATGAATTTATGCTGGTAGGTTTTTTATATGGGAAGATAGTGAATTAGTATTTATCAATATATCTAGAAAAGGAATTTTGCTATTATTAAGTTCGTATGTAAATTTAAGGACAATTATTTTGGAATGGATGTATTTCATCTGTATTCTTGACTAATAAGGATATCATCGACGTATTTTAGGTAGAAGTTTTTTTAAACGCTATACTATATATATATATATATATATATATATATATATATATATTACATCGCTACACAAAATCTTTCATGTTTCGTAACTATAATGTACCTTCACTGGGCGATGGAAGATAACTTATGATGAAAATGATTTATTTGAGAAACTAGAAAACAAATCATTACCTCATTTGAAAGTTAAAAAGGAGGGGGAAAACCCCTAATTTCTAAGTTAAAAAATATACTTGTGGACATCCAATCAAGCTAAAAGGGGAAATGAAAAATAAGGTCAAAGGTGTAGGTAGGTGGGTTATTAAATCATGTCTAGATAAATTGACACTTTAGGCATGTCCACCAGCAGACAAACCTTTGCAAACAAAGTTTAAATAGTTATATTTAACAAAAAGTTAATTTTAAGAAATTTCAAATTTTTTTATACTACAAAACCGTCTTAAAGGAGGTCCCTAGTATATATATTATATATATATATATATATATATTATATATATATATATATATATATATATATATATATATATATATATATATATATATATATATATATATATATATATATATATATATATATATATATATATATATATATATATATATATATATATATATATATATATATATATATATATATATATGTGTGTGTGTGGAACCTAAATGCTATACTTATTATATTGAATGGGCAATAGGACAAGGAAATATTAAAGAATTAAATAAATATTATGCAGATTATTATATACTAATAAAATAATGAATATGTAATGCGTAAATTTTTTTTTTTGAAAAATTCTTTTTACTATATTTTAAAGTAAACGTTATACAATACCTACAAATTACTGTTAATATAGTTACTGCCACGAGATCGCTAAAAAAAGAGCATAGCATGATGAAAAAGACGCCAAACTTGAAAACAAAATTTTATCGTCTAAATGTTTGTTATTATTAAGAGGAAAGATCAAAGCATTTTGGGGGTATTTTTTTTTACATTTTTTAATCGTTCCTAGCACGTCCGAAATTTTCGTTAAAAATCTTGTTTTTTTTGAGTCAGCAAAATTGACAGATTTCAACCATTGTTTCCATTTTATAAAAAAATTGAAAATCTCACTTTGAAATTCTTTTAAATATCAATTATCCTTTATTCAAAACTTATTTTAAGAAAATCAGAAATTATGTTTATTTAAAATATTTTGAACCAAGCTTAACTTAGCTTCTGCGCCGAAAAGATGTAATTTGAAAATAAAACAAATCAGGTCATAAACTTTCGCGTCACTTGACAGGTGATGAATGACATATTGACATATTAACTGAACCCATAGAAACGCCATCACGTTGTGAAATTGTGCACCCTTAATTCTAAAAGTGAATATATGGATGTATGTAAATTAGCATACCTAAAGAGCCAGACCCTATCTAGTTAGGGTTTCATCTACCGGATCATCAGGATAATTCTGATGAAAGAGGGTTGGCTCAAACGACATTTTATTGACTAAGTGGCTAACAGAAAGAATAAAAAGTTAGCATAAAAAACAACAAACAAAAAGAAAAACATTCCAATTGCCAAGTAACCAGGCTTTTTATGCCTACAACCATTAAGTATTTCAGTTTTTGGTAGAGTAATTCATTAGGGTTATTGTAAGAAGCTATAGCTAATTTTTCCTCCATATATAGGAGGCAATATCTATCACCAGCCGTATATTTAGGTCATTTTTTTTTTTACTATCTCCCATTTTAAAATAAGATCTATACCTTGTTTCTTTATAATTTCCCACACAGATAAATTAGTCATGTATCTGTATATTTCGTGTGCGAAACTAGTTCTATTATTGTAATATCTTTTTTGAAAGCTGCATATCAAGCATATCCCTAATGGCATTATGTTTAGATTATCTACTAATTCTTATAAGATCAATATTTTTATTCAAAATAAATACGATTATGAGATGGCGCTAAAAAAAAAAAAAAAATTAAAAATAGCAATGGTTACAAAACCAAATTTGTTTATAAAACCACAGATGAAACATCCGATGTACGTAACAGGGGGAAGAATAGGGCAAGGAAAATTCTATGGTTCACGCCGCCATATAATATGGCCGTAGCTAATAAATTAGGGAAGGAATTCTTTAGATTATTAAAGAAGAATTTCCCCCCGTCGAAAAACCTATACAAAATATTTAACAAAAATACCGTTAAATTAAGCTATAGTTGCATACCTAACGCTGCAAATTTGATCGATTCAATCAACACTAAAAATCTAATAAATAAACAACATATTCAGTCCCCCAAATACAACTGCATTAATAAGGCCGCTAGCCCCCTTCAGGGCAGATGACAATATGAATGCATAGTGTATAAGGTGGAGGTGTATAGTAGCAGACTCAATAATTGTAGTAATGGTAAAAAAAAAAATAAACGTGGGTTCTACCCAAGCTTTATATATATATATATATATATATATATATATATATATATATATATATATATATATATATATACAATCATAGATTTAGTTTCGCACACGATATATACAGGCACAGAACTAGTTTATTTAACTATGTGTAGGAAATTAGAAAGAAACAAGGTATAGATCCTACATTAAAATGGGAGATAGTAAAAGATCCTACATTAAAATGGGAGACAGTAAAAGATCCTACATTAAAATGGGAG